TCATAATTCGCTTTCTCATTCTGGTACATTAAGGGATAATGCAGCTCAAGAAAATGTAAACACTGCCTGAGTGATGGGTCTCATCACTACTGTGTCACATCAATAAATATAAATAAACATATACACCGTAATACTGTCTAACAAGTACAAAAAGCACAGGACACTTAACTATCGTTGTAAATATAACATTCACAAGAGGAGGTAACAAAACAACTTAATCCAGTTTTGCACTGAAGAAGTGAACTCCTTTTCCAGTGCGTTCTAAACCTTTGGCTGGCCATCAGCATCCTCTTTATATGATCGCTCATAGTGTTCAAAGTTTAAAATGTCCCAACGAGGCCAGTCTCACAAAGCTCCTATTAAAAGACTGGAGCGCTCCAGTACCACAGGTTAGACGTCATCTTCTCCATTATGGTTTATTTTTTGCTTGGAGATCTCGGTACCAGTCCATGCTGGTGATAGGTCAGGTCCAACACAAATACTGTATCTTGAAGAAATAGGTGGCATCAGCTCTCCGCTCAAAATCTGTGTAAGGAATTTCACCGTCTTCTGATTAACTGTATTGTGTTGGTTTCACTGCCTTTCTTGTGTGCCTTTGCTACTTTGTGTAACGGCACGAAAAATAAAAATCATAAAATATCAGTCTGCCCTAACCGAGGACAAAGGGATGTTCTTCTGTGAAACCTAGCTGGATGAAAAATGACCCTAGGTACTGCAATCAACTAGCAGTTGCAAGCTGGACTGACACACGTTGTCCCCAAACCTAAGAGGAGGTGGGGTTTGATGCCAGGGAGTGGTTTCAAGAAGTCATTCCACTGTGGAAAAGGGAGATGTTTCATTTTGCGTTATTGTATTCTTTAAGTTCTTGTAGTTTGCCGTGATGAGGTCCGAGGTCTCCAGAAGAAATCCCCTCCTGTACGTGTTAGAGCAGGGCGATGGGTTTGTTGCTGCCCTGTGTGTTCATGCACTGGGATGACACGGAGTCCAGTGTTGTGTAAGTGGTATACAGGCCAGTCACCTGCAGGTCAGAGAAGGAGAGGTCACTGCCCCCAGACACCGGGGTCATGCCAGACGTCCCCAGCTCGCAGTCGGAGAGACGCAGCGGAGAGTTGCTGAAGGCGCCCAGTGATTCCAGGTTGAAACTTTCATCTTTCATATCTTCCCACAAATTTCCTGAGGAGGACATTAATGGGAGAACCTTATCTTAGCAAGTAAGCACTCTCCTGGTCATTGTTAATGACAATTTTGCAACTGGCCTATGGTTAAACTTGAGGTTCCGTTATTCTTTTGCATTATTTCAGGGCATTGCTTTTACACCTGTGATTTTAGGCTACAGTAAAATATAGTGTCCAATACAAATGCCTTGTGACCAGTTTCTTACAGTTGTTAAATGCGGTTAATACTCTCAGGACTGTGGCTTTGCACGAGAGACGAGGCCAAAAAGGACAAACAAGGCCCGGCCAAGCAAACTGACACAGCGGTGCGAGCATCTTAGCTATAAAATGGTTTCCATTTGTTACAGGAAACCAATGGACGAGGTAAGTTTCTTTTATTTGAAAAAATCCTAAAATAAGCAACTGTAGCCTGTTGATTAAGAGTACTCGAGCATTATACCCAGCTACATTAGTATTAAGTAATTCCTAAGACGCCCTGTTAGACTGTGCTTTTCCTGAGAAAAGGATAAAGAAATGAGGGAGCCCGGAGGTGTGTGGGCTGCAAGACTCACCCTGTAAAGCGAAGTCCATGATGCTGGGGTCCAGAGAGTCCACCTCGGCGCTCATGTCGCCATGCAGGCTGTAGAAGTCTTGCGCCGGCTTGCCGTGCTGGGGGGCGAGGGGGCTGTGGGAGAGGTCGGGCACGGCGTGGAGGGGTGGGGTCTGGGCCGGGGCGGGCGAGCCGGGCGCCAGGCGGGCCTGTGCCTGCAGCTGGTGGTGGTGCAGGGGCAGCGACTGCAGGGACAGGGTCATCACGGGCTGGGGCGGCAGCGGGGGGTGCAGGGTCAGGCCGCCCTGCCCGGGGGGCAAGCGGGTCATCCCCGGGTCACACGCTTTCCGGCGGCAGCTCTCCGGCCGGTCCGTGATCAGCTTGTCGAGCTCGTCTGCGTGGAGAAGGGAGGGTTCAGAATTTCATTAGTAACATTCTTTCATGACGCGCTTATCGATTTCCATCCTTTCCTGTTAAGTGGAACAGATTTGTGCCAAACACTTTTACCCTTTTGGAAGGATTAAAGTGTTCATTTCCCTGGGTAGAAACTGTCAAGGGGTTTATAATATATTGCCAACCATCCATTTTCTAACCCCTTCAGGGTTCCGGTTCAGGGCTGCAGAGGAGTCGGAGCCTATCCCAGCAAGCAACAGGCACACGGCAGGGTACACCCTGGAAGGGACCCCAGTCCATTGCAGTTTAAGTATGTTTCTAAATTCGAATTCATCATGCTGGTAGTGGAATCACAGAGCTGAGCCCCAGTGTCCTCTGGGCCCGGGCGATCTGCTGAAGAGCCGGGCCGTGACGCACCTGGGTTGGCCATGCTGCGCCGGATGGCCGGCAGGTCTTTGCGTTTCCACTTCTGCATCTCCTCCTCCATCTTGTCGATCTTGGCGGGGTTGAGGGCCCACAGGCAGCCCTTGCGTGAGGAGCCGCTCATCTTGTTTTCCACCTTCTCGAAGCACTTGTTCAGGGACAGGTTGTGCCGCACTGAGTTTTTCCAGCCGTCTGGGGCCGTCTGCAAAAATGGAAGCAATCCAATATTTCATCAATTCCTCGAGTCACCTCCCCCCCGCTTCTCTGCTTACTGTATTTGATGAGTCCTTGCAGGGGCCTGTCTCGTTGCCTCGTTTTCCTGCTTTCTGTCAGGTACTCGCCCATCCTTACCTTGAAGTAGGGAAAGTGTTCCTTCATAAAGCTGTAGATTTCGCTGACTGGGAGGCTGCCGGTCTTGCTGTTCTTCAGAGCCATAGCAATCAGGCAACTGAAAAGGAAATCTCTACGTTATAAACCACGCAGACGCCAGGTGACCTTCACAGCAGCTTCTTCTGACTTGTGGAGAAAACTGAGTGAGTGATCAGACTTGGAAAAGACCGATTTTGAACCTTTTTTAACTATTTTAAAAAGCAAAATGTATTAAGCAAAAAAACTTCACAGACAAAAAGCAAAAGAAAACCAAGCTCTCCATTGAACTCTGCATATACTTCAGATATACTATAGTTTTTCCCGGGCAGCTACCCCAGTTTAACTGCTACCTAAATCCACTGTATATGAATGACCAACTTTTTGGTCTTTGGTCAACTGACCCACAGAGAAACATTCTCTGTGAATAACCACATGAGCAAATTAATTGATTCCATTCAGTTAACAAGCGGTCACAGGTGAGCTAGGCACAAGACGGCCCTTTCTACTGCAGCTTGGGCATCTTTCAGCAGGTTCCAGCCTCTCAGAGCTGTCCCCAGCCACGTGCTGTAGTGCGATTATTTATCCCAGCAGCTGGCAGTCACTTGAATGGGATGACAACAAGCCGCTGAGGCCTCACCTGTAGGAGTAGATGGGCTTGGGGTAGGACTTGGGCTGCAGGTCCTGGCTGTTGTGAGGGGCGAGGCGGGGCTGGCTGAACGGGCTCTGGCTGCTGTAGGATGTGTTACTATAGAGACCAGCTGGGGAGCACTGTGGAGGGATAATAACAGGGGTGAGACACTGGGGAAGGGAATGTCATCGATTGAGCATCAGTGCAGGTGTTTCTTCCCTTTGACTTCAATATCTATATAGGGTTCCATTATTAAGTCAATACCAAAAGCTCTAGAGCAGATAAATCCTAGCTATGACTGAACTAACATTAGAAGAAATGTACAGAAACCAAGACATTTGATGGCATTTACAGCAAATACATAGTTGTCACTGTGCTGAAATGGTGTGTTAGGCAACTGTAATCAGACACCTCAGACATAAAAAAAGCACTTTTTATATTTAAGTGCAACACATTTTGACCTATTATGTTTTTGAAAATTACTCCAACTGTGAACAAAATACAACTTATATTTTTGCTGTACACTGTTTGTAATAGCAGCTCCATGGGAAATGTCTTGTATTAAAACAGACCTTGGTTCTACACATCTCAACCCCCAAATTTCTCAGGGTAGACACACTTCTCTGCTGATCTTTTCTACATGGGCCACACCCCAGTGGCAGGACCCTGTTGGTAGAAGGTGGTACCTGCTGGCCGGCCTGGGCAATGGAGAAGACTTGCTGAGCGGAGGGCTGGTAGACTGAAGGGGGGGACTGGAATCCGGGGGAGGGCTGGCCACTGATGGAGTACTGTGGGATCTGTGAAAAATTATGGACTTTACATCAGTTCTATTAATTACATTTATTACATTCACATTACAGTAAATAAACAAAAAGCAGAGCATTCTTATTTGAGGATTCCTTCAATATTTATGCTTCTCTTTTTATATTGAAAGTGCTGTATATTTGCAATTGCTTAACGGCACACATTTTCTATTATGCAGTACTGGGCTCATGTATTGCATCAGTGTCCCAGACGATTCTGTAATTGGTCATAGAATACCTACTTTGCACAATGTACTGATTTATTCCTGAAACTCGTGTAACAAGTTTCATTATTTTAATATCCAGATGTCACCTTTCAAATGTCCTATGCCATTAGTTTAAGCCCTGAGTGTCCAGTAAGTCCACATATACTGTACAAATAAAGACACAAAATGTTCACACTGTATGCTGCAAATTGCACACCATACAATCCACTTGTAAAGAAATCTGCTGTGATGCTTACATTTCCACTGTGTGTTGCCATTGCACTCATTCCCAGAATGCTGTTCTGCATATTGCTCTGCAGGTGAATCATGGTCCCTTGTCCTCCAGCTACATTCACGTTGTTCATCTGGGCTGAGAATCAAAGATGATCACTTTACAAAACTGAAAACGTCAATTTGTCTTTTCCCGTGTTTTAGTGTAAACTGAACCTTAAAATATTTCTCTAATTCTTCCATTAAGGCCTTAATCAAATTTTAATTTCTAGAGACACCCGCTCTGTGTCCCCAAATTTTAATTTTGACCAAGCCTAGTACAAGAATACACTTGGAATATTGTGTCCAAATGTTGTTTTTCTGTTGCAGTTGTTTTTGCAAAATATCACAATGCTTTTGTGAGTTCTATTATGAAGAATAAAGCATGCTGGTAGATATTGCAGTATCCTATATGTCAGAGTACACTGAACTACAGTATCTTCCTGAGTCAATGCAGGTGTGGTGCTGTGTCAGTGTTGAGGTTCAGCTACCTGGCTGCTGCAAGGCGTTCTGGGAGCTCATGCTGAAGTCCAGGCGGCCTGTGGCCATCTGCTGCAGTCGGGGGACGTCCACTGAAGTCAGCCAGGACAGTGACTGCAGGTCACTGGGGAGCTCATCCTCGCTAAGCTGGGAGGGGTCTGTGGTCAGCAATCTGCAGGTAAGCATGAGCAAGGTTCAAGAATCCCGTTTAAAATGCACATTTTAAACTGGCCCAGTGTTTTCTTCGACCTTTATACAGTATGTGTGTAATTTTATGTCCAATTTGTTTATTGGTTTTTCAGGAAAAAGAATATTGTGTGTGAATTTTTAAAGCATTGAAAGGCGGGTTCCCATCGTTTTGATAACATCACTGTGTTTCACATTTAAGGAACCGTGATTTGCTGTTGTGTTCACTCCTCCTCTTTTAAAGGTGCAGATTTGCAAGAGCTCCAAGCTGGCTTAACGCAGGTTTGTGCGGTACCAGAGGAAGTACTGTTACAGTATGTTCAGGACCTGCACCCTGGTTCTGAGCAGAGTTTATGAAGATCCATGCCTTCTCAAACTGAGTTGGCATTGGTTTCTTTTGAAGCCATTCACACAAGTCAGCAGACTGAGCTAGAATCACTGTAGAGGCAAAGAGGCTTAGCTTTTGCATTATGAGGTCACTTGTTGATCTTTAATTTTGAGGGCTAGGTGAATGGCTCTTTTCCATTTTGTTCTTAAATGTGATTTTTCTATGTGCCAGTGCAAAGTTCAAGTTGGTCAAGTTCAAATTCTTAATGGTTGCTTTAAAAATATTCAAAAACCATAATCATAAATCAACAGTAAAATAAAGTACAATAATTTTATTTGAAGAAATCTGATATTTCTGATATTTAAATGCAGTCATTTTAAAACTTCACGTGCCTAATAAGTAGCAGGGGCCAACCGAACTACGTGTACGGCATATATCATGGCTTATTATACATGCGTTGTTTTACTGCTGGGTAGAGAAAAAAGAACTGAATAAATAAAAACCAACAAATCACTTTTCCTGCAGCGCTTAAACGTCTAATCCTGCCACTTGAGTGCCTATGGCATAATGAGAAATCTGTACTCCCTCTCTCTCTTTTTCTTTGTAAAGGAAATGGAGATGGCTGCTAAAAAGAGAGAGCCTCCCACTTGAATCCTCTCCAATCTTCCCCACACTCCTACTGTAGACGGAGAGTGCAATAATTAGGATCTCCATGGTAACCACTGCTATTCAGTTATTTTGCGAGACCAGGCACTGTAGGGTCCAGAAAAAAAAACCCCATCAGGTGACCAAACTCTCTCCTTCACCATTGGCTGAATCATAAGTAAACAAGGGCATGAAATAATTTGAAATGTGGGGTAGGCCCATGTTATTTGCAACAGTTGGCTTCTCTATTGAAAGATGATCACCCATTGTATTGCAAACGACTGGGGCCCAGTGGCACGTGGCCCTGTTGTTCCCTAGACCCTTCCTTAATTGTTTTTTCAGCCCACCCCCCCCCCTTCATTTTTTTAACCTGCCCGCTTGCATTAATCTGGCGGAATGACAGTGGACTCACGGGGGGGACAAATGAAGTGCCATCTGCTTCCCTGTCCTGTTCCGGCCCTCTTACACCGCCTCGCCCCCGCTGGTGCGCTGCACAAGGTTCAAGGGGGCGGTGGGGGTCAAGCTGCACTGCACACGCCTCCTGTCACCCGATAAATCTTAAATCATTTACCCCAGCCCAGCGCGCAGCCTCCATCCTCGCAGGCTGGCCTTAGTTACCCTCGCCTGGCAGGAGGAAGGTCTACAGAACCGGCCTACTCGCCCAGGGCCGGCCCCAGTTTCAAACGAAACCCAACGAAACCTGATTTTATCTCTTGGCTTTGTCATTTGAAGACCTCTCCCCCATCACCGCAAGTGATGTAACCCTTATTTCATCCTCGAAAGTTCAGAAATATTAACCGGCCGCTGATATTGTAGCCCGTGTGTGTATTAAAGTACCATCATCTTCTTTTGCAAACAGTCAGGGAGGTAAGAATCGTAACCAGTGGGACTGAGAATCATTGCGCTGTGCTTGACTGGAGGTGAGGAGATGCATGAGATGGATTTAGCTGGGTAGATACACAAACAATCCCACAACTTCCTGGGACAAAATAAACTCTGCACTTTCTTTACCATTTGCAGTATACTCCTACGACAGGGACACAAACCTTGCTTATTGAATTAACAATGCAATTACCTATAAAGACCTTTAATTGCTTCTATGTATCCATTTAGGTAACACTACAAAAAAAATCAAATTTACATTCTCTTTTCTTGGAATAGTGCCCTTACAATTCAATTGACACTCATACACTTGAGTGGGCCCTCAGCAAAGTAGAATCTCATGAGTAAGAAGAGAATCTTGAATTGAGGAGTTATAAATCTCCTGGTGGAGCACGGAAGTTCCTTTTGTACATGAAGTTGTCCGCCACTCCTCATAAATTCAGAACCCCGATTTTTATTTTAATGACTTAACCTTGGCCATTCATTCTAGATTATTTTATTTTCCTCCGTAAAGCTATTAGAAATCAAGCAACAGCTAATCAATCTGCATTTCATTGCAGGGCGTGATGTGTTCAGAATGTCCTGTTGCTATAGCTCAGTCTGTTATGCTGCAAGGTCACACAAAGTTTGTATGTACAGAACATGAAATTGGAAGGGCTCTTGAGATAACAGCACCACGTCACAAGTAGTGTACGCAGGACAGAAACCATTAAAACAGAATGGCCAAATAAGGAACAACCAGAGATTTCGTGAGAAATCAGAATTTTAATTTTACCAACGAGAGGGGGCTGTGGTCCCCGTCTTGCTCATTCAGTAGTTAGCAGCTAACGGATCGAAGCCTCTCTTGCAATATAGTTGCGTTTTCTTAAACAGTACATCAGATCATAAAATGGAAGAATTTATGATTGTTTCACTGTGTTTTAAAAATAAAATGCAGGCTATGTAAGAAACATCTAATGCCCATTTCCATCTTTTCTTCAAAGAGGCTAAGCATGTTTCTAATATATAAACCTAAATATATTTATCTAAAAAAACTATTTCAAGCTTGCATCTCCCAGTCAAGAATGAAGGCTAGATACACTCTTTTTGATCAATTAGTTGCCAAAAGATTTTCAGCGCCTTCTGGGGTCAGACCATATAAAGAAGGATCAGCTGTATTCCATGTTTCTTGGTTGGAAAAAGAGGTGAGCTTTAGAAAAGAGGTGAAAAGAGTAAATTGTATATTAATATAACGGATACCTTCTGGGGAAGCATGGTGGCTTCACAGCTCCAGGGTCCTGGGTTCGAATGTGGCTCTGTCTGTGGGGACCTGGCATGAACCCCGATTTAATCCCACAGTCCAAAGACATGCAGACCAGACTAATTGCAGTCTCCGAACTGCACGCCGTATGCATGCGAGTGAATGTGTCTGTGCGCGCCTCGCCCAGACTGTAGACACGCCTTGTACCCTGTTCCGCCGGGTTAGGGTCCGGCTACAGCGACCCTCCAGGATAAATTAGCAACTGGGAAAGGATGGATAATGCTTTTTAAAGGAAGCACGTTGACATTATGAAATAATCCAAGCAGAAGTCTGTAATGTTGTTTAGGGCTGTATGGGACTTACTGAACCTTAAGTAACTTCCACAAAGGTTACTGCAACATAATTAGACGAATCAAAGTAAACTCGTAGAATAGGGCTTCAGCCCCGTCCAAAGCAAACTTACATCTTGGAGAACCTCCGGAGGTTTTGTAAAACGAAAACTCGCTTGGGAGAAGGGGAGTGTTAGCAGAATAACAGTACATTTAAATATTGTGATTGCGAACAATGACATATTTTTTAATCGTTTCCTTCGTGATTTATTAAAATAAATATTAGCTTTGTTTTCCAGTCTTCAAAATACAAGCATGTTAGCTGGACTATTCTGCCAAGACGTTAGTGTTCAATGGTAACTTTCGCCGCGATCCTTTTTGGAGAGACAGTAGTTTTTCGGAAGATTCCTGAGGATCTAAGGATCACGATCGTTAGATCCGTCCCCAGACAGTTTTCTAGTCATCTAGTCCTTAGAAAGCCCAGGGGCTCATTGTACCTCGTCCCTCGTTACTACCGTATCAAATTCAGGAGCTATTTTACGTCTCTCTCCCCTTAACAGTTTCCCTAACAACGCCTTTACTATAGCGTTCTACTAAGCAGCTCTAGCCTTTACAAAAGCCTCAGTCGTAGTAAGAACGACCACCGGTTTTAATAGGGCTGTTTCCCAAGAACGTTTCTTAACATGTCTTTTCTTATCTGTGCACACAGTCTTACAAATAATGGGGACATCAAAACAAGGGTCATTCCAAAGACCAAAACTGATAATGGAACATTTACATATGCAATTGTGATTTAATGCAAAATGCACGTTTTAAATATTTGGGAACTCTAGAAATATTCATCCGAACTTGGACTACGTGAAGACGTTTACCCACTCCACTACAAATGAGCATATTAGCGCTGGGAGTTTTTTTATTTGCCATTACCCAGTTAAAATGCCATCTCAGTATTTCGAGGATGACCAGTGAATCTCATCAGTGCATTTCCACGCGGTCAGTCAGAAGACATGACTCGTGTCTGCAGACGGACAGACGTGTCTTCGGATGCGCGCGGCAGGCACGCGCTCCGGAGCGGTCTTCTGCAGGAGCTGCACTCTGCGCGCTCGCGGTCCCGCCCGCTCGGGGTAGCGGAGCGTTCGTGCACTATCCAGCGCCACTTAAAATGCTCTCGGTCCCGAAAGACGTCCATTAAAAGTACCTGAAAGGAGCGTCGTTCACGGCTTATTAATCCAATGTCAGGGTGTGAATCCACCAGTTACAGTGACTGCTCAAAAGCGAATGCCAATAGCAACAGGTAAACAAACATTGCAGGCATACTCCCATAAGAGCCCGGTCATGCGTTCATCTGCACATTGTAGAAAGTAAGAATCGGTGCAGAGCGATTTCCAGAGTGCTCACTACAGACTATCTGGTGCGTTACTGCACAGTTGCATGAGATTTAGCAAGCATTCAATCGCAGTACAAACGTCATTAAAACCCAAAAGACAAGTTAGCGCGGTTATGTAGCCCCTAATATAGCCCTAGGGTGAGACTTTGTAACGAATGGCGCTTTTGAACCCTTAAAAATAGTTTTACAAATACGGTTTGCAAATGAGTTGTATAGAGTTCGCAATGCGAGTCTGCATCACCATAACGACGCCTGATGTTTGAATTACGATAAGCAACTATCCCTTACCTTCCCGCACCAGGTCAATGGGTAATATTAGATTGCACTCAGCACATATACATAATTGCATAAAACAAACACATTCACCCATCATCGCAGCACAACAATTAGCCTTGCATTTCGGATAATGGCGTAGGGTCAACATATTCGTGCACAATTCCATACCCAAAGTGCTACTGCGTGCATTCGTTTTTGAATGTATATTCTTGTCAATGGGAAAAGGCAAAGTTTGTACAACAAGACGTGTATAGTGTCTCCGTCCCTTACAGAACAGAAAAAGAAAATCGGTCGCATAAGGTTTCCCAGAGCAGCCCTTGCGCGCCTCGCTAATTGGAGGCCATTACCGCTCATCAGTGACCCCGAGAGCCCTCCGCCAAGCGCCTACCCGCCCGATCCGGGGGCTCAGTCCCTCCGTGTGCCGCCAGCAAGAGTGTGTAAACAGAGCTGATGGGTTCTGACAGATGCATTCAGACCGCAAATCACTTATTCTCGTCGTCGTTTTGTACTCGAGATTCCCAGAAAAGACAGATACGAACGTTTTACTCGTGGAAAGCCGCACAGGCGTGCAGCGGTTTCAAGTACCCCCCCAGCTGCGTTTCCAGCACACTTCCTCCAGACTGGAAAAACACGGGTTTGTCGGGCAGTAACTGCTGCCTGGGAGCAAAGCTAACCCCGCGTTAGAGTAAAGGAAGTGGTTAATTCTGATATTTCATTTTACAATGCGCAAACTCATTCCCCGCTTCGGTCATTCCTTTTTCCCAAATCGACCCAGCCGAAGAGCTAATTCCGAAGCTCCATTTAAAAAAAAAAATGTATTCATAGCAATGCCTTTGTCCATAAGATTAACACAAACTTTCAAACTTGTCAGTGCAAACTAATAATAACAACAGCAACAGCCTTACCTATAATCCTGCGCTGAAGGGTGGTGACTTTGTCCTGAATTTCCAAGAATTCCTGACATCCTGGAGGTAATTCCGCTTTCTATCATCTCCTAAAAAATAAACGGTTTTGCCTTATGATTTCTAGGTTTCGTCTGAAATAAAATAAATACCCCCCCCCCTGACGTTTACAAAAAAAACATATCTAAACTTCTTATGAAAAGCTAATGTACTTAACCCAGCATGGCTTCCTTATCAACAGCATCATACATTTAAAACCCGGGCCTGGCGTTACCCTTTGACATGTTTGTCATATTGTACTAGAATCGCATTTTGTCGCAAGTGAACGACAGTCACTTCAGTGTCTTTCTGAAATTTCCCCCAAGTTACTATACCTAGTAATTTTTTTTTAAAAAAAAGTGTACTTAATGATAAGAAATAAATTGTCCTGTAAGCCAAACAAACAAGTACTAGAAGGAACTACAGTTTCGAAACGATTGTAATACATTTTATTGTGGATGGCAGATGTCAACACGGTTCATTGTGTTTTTAAAAGGAAGATCAGCAGCAATCTCGGTGCGTAAAATTAATGACAACAGAGTAACTCACAGACTGGCTCAGGACAGTTTCGCAACAATGTCCTTCCTTGTAGCCGAACCAGATGAAAGCCCCCGAAACCAAACGGGCAAACTTGACTGGAAAGTGCGCTAATTTTCCAGCAAAACGGCTGCCTCGTCGTAGGGTCGCCCCCCAAATGCCACGCAGTAAAGAAAATAACAGCACCGACTGCACCTTTTTTTTTTTGGCACTGCTGCTTTTCTATTCGTTTTTAAGATTTAAAGAGGTAAGGGAGAAAGAGAAGTCGTACCTGTCCGGGGTACAAACGCCGAAGTCCTGGTGGGCTGTCTCTGTGTGTGCGTCTTTGTATATTGACTGCGCACTTGTCTCTCTCCAAACCGTTTTTAAATTTCCCTCTCTGGCGCTGTCCAGCCTTGGGACATGCGCACTGATCGCACAGGGGTCTCGCTCGGTGTGATGAGAGAGATCAGTTCAGGGGGGCCGGGTCGTAAAAGTTCAGCAGTTTTCTCCCGCAAGATAACCTGTGTGACACGGACATCATATGAAATTAAACCCCACCTCCTCCTCCTACTACTCTTCGTCCTCCTCTGGATGGAATAGAAACAGCCCGTCTTTTTCTCTCCGTCCCGTACGTGACTTTTTGTTCTGTTTTTTTTTTTTTGGGACGTCCAGTGATTTTCAGGTCCACATATTCTTCCCCCAACCACTGAATCACACCATTAAAAATAACGATGGGCGTTAAAAAATACAGTAACCTCCCACTATCTGGAGTCCAGCTTCGAGATTTCTACACCGATTTATATATCATGTTACGGTCTAGATCTTTGAGCCGCTAAAACCTTTAGCTTTTGGGCCGTCTTTATTTTTTATTTTTTTTAATGTATGCTCTGGTTCCGGATGCGAAAGCTGAGGAGTCACAGAGGCAGAGCTGGGGTGCTTTTGAAGAAATCCTATCCCCAGGCAGATGCAGTGTCGTTTCTGAAAAGACCGCAAGGTGTGTGGGCAACAGGTGCAGCAGTCGCCGGCTGAGCCCTGATTCCGCACTGCCTTAGCTACCTGACAAAAAAATAAAGAAAGAAAAGCCTTAACGTCCTAGACATGAAGCCAACACGCCGACAAACTGAGCTATCCCGAGCTCATGCTGGTTTCGGGATCCATGCAATCACAGCGGCCTTCATTTGTGTTTAAAGTGGAGAGTTTTTAAAGTTTTCCAAACTTTTTTTTGTAGCCCTTCTCCCCAGTCCCCCAGCCCCCCCCGTTTTTCTCCCCCCCAAATTCTCCGCGGAAATTTTTAATCCTTCCAATTTCGGGTAGCGTCTCCCTCTTCCACGGTCTTTCTGACTCCTCGTTTGTGGGTCTCCCGGGCTGAATGAAGCCGTTGACTCAAGGGCCAAAACACTAGACCGAGAAACTCGCTTCCCCGCCGCTCTGCCCGCGTCTCAGCCCCGCGGCTTCAGCGGGAAAAGGTGGCCGGGGTGGCGCGGGGGCTGGAGGGGGGAGGAGGGCAGAAAAGTCCTGGGAATATACGGCTCATACTGTACCAAAGAGCAAAAGCGAGCCTAGATAATCAACAGGGTGGGGACTGCAAACAAGAACTTCGTATTACTGCATCAAAAGATTAGAAACTTGTCTTCGTTGTATACTGTACTTAGATAAAAGCCTACGTCAGTCGTAGATGTCTGTACACAGTTACCAGATTTGAAGGGGAAAGGTTTTCCCCGTCTACCACAAGGGGCATGGCAATCACCTTGGCAGTTTATTCCTGAAGGCACGCGTAGATTTGTTTTTTTAAAAAATATTCAAACCGAATGTTCTGTTTTGCGCGGCCGTTCGGTCAGGTGTCATTTTGACACCTCGACCCGTCCTGACGTGCCTCACCCTGGGTCCCCCAATCCCCTCCTCTCTCCCCCAAACCCCCCGGCTGTCGGGTGACATTGTGTGCGAATCGTTTTTATCAATGCGTGCTTCTGACAGGATGGGAAGTTTTATCTTTCAGTCGTTGTTTTCCTTGCACCTTTTAATGTTTTGTTAAACAGTATTTCACTTTTTAAGTAAAACCTGCGTTGTTTAATGTGTCAGTGAACCTAAGGTTTTTCGAACGGACACCTGACTAAAAGTGTCTTACACATATTTTCCTTTCCTAAACGACCAGTCACGCAGTTTTTGTCGTCCGAAAAGCCGTTGAGTACTGGGGAACATGTCAAAACAAGTTTGGTAAAAACGAGGTGTGGTTGTAATATTACGTATTGCTAAATGGAGCCTCAGCATTACACGTGAACCGGTGGTCTGTTATCGGTTGGATGAAGGATATTAACACAGACTGCAAAGTCCTCAGTCTCAATTTGCTGTTACCTTAGCGGTGGGAAATTTGATTAGATTATTTCTAATCGATACTGTCGCTAAACCTTAGAATGAGAATACACAATATATAGATTTTCCCATAAGATTGGGTATTTTATTAGTCTTTAAAATATATTGTATTCAATTATACAGTGTACCTTTAGTCATCTTGATTTCAGATTTTGTTTAGGATCGTAATTTTGTTTTGGGATTTTCTTACAGTCTTTTTAGTACTTTGTACAATGAAATAGTAGTCGGAATGCTTTTGAATGATATGGGATGAACGCGAATGCTTGATTAATAACATCTTGTTTGGTGCCCCATGTGAAGGTACACTAATACCGTTTTTAATACCACATCTGCACACTTCAAACAAAAAGTTTCAAATAGTTCCAAGATTTCTCTTTGATTTTTTTTTTTGCCCTGGCAGGAAATAACTGTATCCTTTGAATAATTTGCGCCCAGGAGTCGTTAAGTGTGAAATTGTAGATTAATCCTATAGGGAGCGAGGTCTGTGTCAGTCGGCTCACCCCCACGGGACAGTGCAGATGGCGAATCGTAATTTTACAATGGGCACAATCGATGATTACATGCATGGACGTAACGGACAAAAAGAGCGGCCTCTTAAATCCAATGTATTTACGAGGTCCTAGCGCCCGACATACAAAGTTAAGATATTCTGAGCTACGTCTCCACGCTTTGCAAATACTGTACAGCGTGGGTAATGATGATGTCTAGGAGCGGCAAGTTCAAAATAAATCTCAATTAAAATGACCATTGCTCAACTGAATTAATTTCTCTCCGTATTGAAATTTAATACTGGTCCATGGTACCTGGACAACCGAAGTGTGGTGCTGCCCAATATGAGAATGGTACCTGAAGCTCCTGACAGAAATGAGGGTTGTATTTTTATGTAAAAACACAGTAATCATTCCTCGATTTAAAGACCATACCACTTGAAAGACGCCTGTACGTTTCGCCTTGTCTCATGCTTTTCAACAAAAGCACTGTTTTTAAGCTTGCAAGTGCCGATTTTTAAAAACTACAATACAGAGTTCTTCGTCTTAGAATTTGAAAACATAATTGTTGTAACTTTACTATGGCTGTGTGTAAGCTGGAGTAGGATTCAAAGGAAATGAAGCATTGGTTACTAGACAGGTTTGTATCAATAATTAATTATTTCCACTGGTCTCCGGCCCACACCTTACAGATATTTTTTTTTTCCCAAAAAACACTCAAGCCGTGAGGCTCTCGAAGCCAGTTCATCCAGGGTTCTGTAGAGTTCAGCAGGCTGAGAGCATGCTGGTCTCAAGGGAAACTAGCCCATTATAGTGCAACATCTAGCAATTCTGGTACCTGGTACCTGCAGGTTGATGGACTGGAGAATTGGGGATTTGTTCAGGGGTAGCAGTGTCTATATGGGACTCCAGCCCACATCCATTCAGTTATAAAGCCCTAAAAATGACTCCATACTGCTCCCTTTACTTACAAAACTGACACTGTACCTAAATTTGCACCCTTTGAAGCCAGTTGTTTTAATCTGCCTTACACTGTCTAACGTTAATGCTGGAATGTTGAATGAATCCCTGTCTGTTGGCAGTGAAAGAGATGATGTAACCGGAAGTAAGTCAGAGTTTTTCTTGTGTCCTCTTTTAAGAGCTCAATTTCCCTACAGGAAAATGATCTATCAAGATTTATCTTTCTCCTGGAGGACACGCGGCAAGCCAAACGTCTTGTGTGCAGAAACAGACAAGTAAATTTGAACTGCGATGGGCAACTTCCCTTGTTCCCGAAATAATAATAAAAAAATGCACCGTATTCCGTAGAATCAACCTTATCACTTCATCTTCTCTCCGCAGTCTGTGTGTTTGCTTGAAATCAGCTTTTTAAAAGCGGGGTAGGGCTGAGCGCTGCTGGATAATTATTGAGACTGATAGGCCGTGAATCTGCCGGCTGCACAAAGGAGACAATGTTGTCACTGCACAAGAGCATCAGTCCTGAACGGAGGCTCTCTGATAAGTGCTCCGACCACCTTTTGTCATTATTGGAGAAACAAGGATGTCCTAATAAATGGTTCCCTGCTGATCAGACCTCCTAGAAAGGACAGAAAAGACGTTTCCCAGCATACTTAACCACGGATAATGGAATCAACAGGGTTCCCACTCCACGAGGCGGTCTGTGTTTGTTTGACCTGTTTTGTTTCTACTAAGTGTTTACCAAAACATGTTGTCATGTAGAGGGACGGACAATTAACCCTTCCACTCTCCTAGCAGGCCTGCTGGGAGAAGGTCAGTTCGGCCAGGGCTGACATGTGACCTTTTGTGACTTCTGAGTCTTGCCCTGTCTCTTGCTGCCTGTCTCAAGAAAGACGATACTGTAATTGCATTGTCTCCGGTTGAAAGGCCAGTGGTGCCCGAGAAATGCTGGCGGGCTAAGTTTTGTGTTGGAGGCTACTCATTGGAACTAAGACGGACAGACGAGGAGGCAGGCAAGCAGACAGACAGTCACTTGCTTTGTGTTGGCACAGATTAGTAGCTGCCTGAAAGAGAATTCTGGTAGGAGTAGCTCTGGCATCCTGGCATAATGGTTAAAGGGCAATAAAGTTCTGTTCGTTGTAAAGCAGTAGTTTTATATATGTCGGGCCTTTTGATTGTTCAGATTTTTGTTTCCCCTACCAAACATGTATGCAAGATCTCATGGTGTGCATCCTTCTTGCACCTGTGTGCCGAGGAATAGAGGAATTCAAAATCCTTGTGGGATTACAAATTCCCCTGGATTAGAACGCCACCCAGCATTGTGAGAACACATTGGGAATTCATTGACGTGGTGGCCTTTTTTTTTGGGGGGGGGAAACAGTTTAAAAAACAAATGCCCAGCATTTGCCACTGTTGGGGAAAATACATTTGCCATGCCAACAGTCTTGGAGGCATACTTTTCTGTGAAGTGGGTGGAATTCAAGCAAGAAGGGTCATTCTGCAGATTACTCTGCCTGTCCTCTGGTTCACGGCTAGGGCACCAGTTGATGGCCTTGAGGGGACTGTGTAGCTCTGAAGGAGAGGAGACTTTTCCTTCCTGACAATGTCCTGAATGGCAGCTCTTCCAATCCCCTGACCCCGGGCCGCAGAATTAGGTCACCAGCTCGCTTGCTTAGAGTAGTGTGCACATTCATCTGTGGCTAATTGCTGGTTGTTGTTCACTAGTGATCAGAGCCAGCAGTTGGAGACAACATGGGGGAAAGGGAGGAGACATAGGGATCGGCCTGTTACCCCCAATTAAGGGATTAGGGAACAAAAGGAGCTCCTGAACACCGAAGGGTGAAATGTGCGGGACAAAGAGGGCCAGGCTGGCACATAGCCTGACTATCTAAGTCTTATGGAACGATGGAATCCCCAAGTTATAGGAAGTTCCCCCAAAGGAATTCTGAACCATTTCTAAATGTATTTTACTGCATTAAAGGGTGTTTTACAGTCTTTCTCTATAAAATTGTATCTTATGGCGAATGTCTTGCTGTATCGTTTTTGGTGGTTTTTTTTTAAAGTTTGTTTATTTTGAACATGACTTCTCAGACCTTTTGTTATAAAATGCCTCCTAATGTCCCTTCAAATGTTCTTGAAGTCTCTCAGGTTTTGCAAAAGCATGATGGTGAGACTTATTGAAGCATGTGAGTAATATATTGTATAAGTATTATTCTAAGAAATGGAGTTATTACATTTGAAATATGCTATTTGAGCGGATAGTCCAAAACCACAAAAGGCAATGTTTGTTATTTTTATCATTTTCTTTAAATGTTGTTGTCCAATTGCACTTTGGTGTAGTTCTGTTTTATCTATGGATGTTCTACAAGTAGATATCTCAGGTAGACCTATGAGAAAAGTGACAGACACAGATAGGCCAGTTTTTGTAGATCCACAGTGCTTTGTCTGGAACAAAATGCAAAATATCGTTACAGCCCTTTCCCTGGCCTGTAATGAATGCATTTCTCAAGGTGACCAATTCCAGTAGACATGCTTTGCAATATTTTCCCTTTCTGCTGTGCTCATCCTTCATGGCAATCGATAAGCCTAATTGGAAACAAAATGCTGGCCCCGCCAGATGAGGTTTATTTTAATTACCCTGAGAAATGGACAGTGTAGTTAATTTGCTGGTGGATTTCATTCACTCCTTATGTCTTTG